GGGGTTGTCAGGCAGAAGCCACAGGGGAAGATGCAAGGCTACAGCAAGGCCAAAGAAGAAGGCATCATGCCCACAGAGCCCAAGACAAGACTGGCACCATGTTCATGTAAAGAAAGCCCTGAACTGCTGAATTTCTGAAAATGGTCAGACACTATGAAGAACAGATAACACTATGAAGGAGCACTTACACATCTGAGACGGGGCAAAGTACATCACATGTATTTCCCCCATTTAATCCTATAATATCCTAGAGTGCAAGTAATACCAATTTTGCATTATATAAAAGTGAAACAAAGACTTAATGATAATGTAACCTGCACAAAGTCGGGGAACTATCAACAGTTATAACTTACACCTAAGTTGTGTTTCCAGAGGAACTGATTTGTAGCAGACTCAAATCAAGACTATGAAAAACACTAATTGGTTGTGAATGAAAAGTATGATGCATGTAGCCTAAGGCTAATAAAACACTGGAGAAGTTTTAGAGTGAAGAAAGAATATTACCTTTATGTTGACCATAGGATCACAGGGGTGACTACAGGTAGGGTCCAGTTAAAAAATTACTAGACACGAAGCAATGACTGCTAGGTAGTGATGGGAGCAAAGAGTTACTATAAAATGGCAGTTTAAAGAAAGCATTACCAGAACTGTGTTGCTAATTGGACAGGGAGAGGATTCCACACTGTCACTAAGAAAAATGTTATCAAGAGACAATAAACGAAGCTGGAGATAAAGTGAAGAAGTAAGAAAAATAAACTTAAGTTTAAAAACAAAACACCCAAGAAGGCAACAAGAAACATAACCAATTTTACTGACCTTAAACTTGTTCCGGTGGTTATCTGGGACAGTGTCTTTATCTGGACAGCTACAACAGCTACCCATGGCTTCTTCAGAAGACCATGTGAGCACTACATGAAAGACAATTTGGAAAAAAGTATTAGATGAAGGATACAAAAATAGTAAAACAAAACAAAAAAAAACTTCAGAAATCATCAAACATGAACCCTCAATTTTTTTTAAAGTATCTTCTGCATTTTTAAAAAAGGATTTATTTAGTTATGCATACAGAACTGGGGTGGTACAGGGCAGAGACACAGGGGCAGTAAGAGGCTTCACCAGACACAGAATGGGGAGCAGAACGGACTGACAAAGTACAATGCTGAGGGGAGCAGCGAGCAAGGAGAGGTCTGCTGTGCTATGTGGGTGACTTCCGAGGCCAGGACCGAACTTGCACTGAATTGGCTGCAGCTCACTTGCAGTGCTTCACTTTAACCTGCTGGACCACCAGGGAAGGCCCCCTGCATTATTTTAATGAAGAGAATTAAGCCCCAAAATATTTATGGCTGGAGCTACCTGGTGAAGTTTGCTCAGTGAGGCAGACAACAAAAATCTCAAAAAAAAAAAAAAAAAAATCAAACCAACCTAAGTTTTCATGTGTAATGATATTTAAATAAAGTCATTCATGGAATTAACTGTTTATTTTTTTATGAGGCATCTTCATTAATAAATTACAAAAGGATGCTACACTTTAGGCTTGGCAGATATTTTGATTCGTATTTCTCACTGTAATATACTTTATGTACCCCTGGAATCAATAGCTTATTGATAATTGACATAAGTCAAGGTCAGAATAGAGCACTAAGATAGCTTAAAATAACAACACACAGAAAACTGGCAAACTGATAAACCATATCTAATTCTTCTTCCCCACAGTAGATTTATGAAGCTATAGATGACATTTAAGTATCCAAGGACACTCCAGATGAAAAGAGGGGAAAATTAAAAACATCACTTTTAAGCAAGAAAATGTATCAAAATGAATGTGGCAACATTTGAAGGGGGAAGGAGGGCAGAATAAAGCATAAGAAGTTACTAAATATTTAACGATTTATTTATTTATGTATACAGATATGGGGTACAAGCCAGAGATGCAGGGGTGGTGAGAGGATTCACCAGAGACGGAGTGAGGAGCAGAACAGGCAGACCAACAAAGTACACAGCTGAGGGGAGCAGCAGGTGAGACAGGAGAGGTCTGCACGCCACGTGGTCACCTCAGGGGGCAGGGATCGAACTCACACCAAAGCGGCTGCTGCTGCGGCCAGCTTGCAGTGCTGTGTCAACCCATTGCTCCACCAGGGAGGGCCCGAAACTACTAAACATTTAAAACAGAAATATAACTCAAACTTGCTTAAATTCTTCAGTGGCTCTTCACTACCTTCAGGAAAAAACTTAACACTCATCAATGAGACATGAGGTCCTGCACAATTTGGTTTGTCTGTAACTTCTTCCCTTCCTCTGCTTCAAGCCCTACCCATGTTCATACTAAACAGCTCACATGGAACATCCTGTTCTTTTATACTCTTACTTACATACACACTCTTACACACACCCGACGGTTACAGTTGCTTTCCTCTGTCAAGACTGAGCTCAGTACAGTGCCTCCAGGAAGTCTCCTCAGCACCAGTCAAATGCCTGAGTTAAGCTTCTGACATATTCCCCACCCCATCCTGTACTTCCCAGTACCACAGCTGCTATCACACTTCACTTACTAGAAATTGGGGGAGGCTGTCTTTCTTACCAACATTCTCCCTTTCACTGTGAATTCCTGCCCATCAGGTATGGCCCTCATTCATTTTTGCATTCCCTGTCCTAACAATCACAAGGCACACAGTGGGTGTTCTAATCACTCATGATGTGAATGAACTGTACTAGACTATGGTGAAGAATGCCCACAGGCATTCTAAGAAAATGAAAAAGTATACTAGTGTGGAAACCAAAAGAAAGTATAGCTAAAATAGTAAATTAATATAAGACTTACATTCAGCTTTTGCTAACTAATATGCCAGTTAAGTATTACTGTGTAAAGATTATTAAGTCACAGCACAAAGCTCTGAAAAGTCATGAGTCTAAAGGGAGGACAAACATGTAAACAGTAACGTACTATGATAAGTCATATTAAAATCTAAGAAGAGGTCTGTGTACACAGAGAAGGAGTAACTACCTCTTTCAGTTTGGCAGGCAGGCAGCACTACCTAAAAAGGTGAACACAAACAACAAGCTAAGCAAGAAGTAGAAATAGGTTGTTGAGACAACAGGATAAAAGGAATATGTGCAAAGACAAATGTCATCAAAGGTTATAAAAGGCCATGCTGCTTTCAAAAGAAAGTGAGGAATCCAATACAACTATAGCACAGAATAGATGTAATATGACCCATCCTGAACAATGAGGTAGGGACCTGTGGCCAGCACCCCGGGGTTTCCGATGGACACCACTTTATCAATGCACTAATCATGTTATACTGGGACGTTTGTCCATATCATCATCACTCCACAGTGATCTTCCTTAAAGTAGGAACCCCATCTTCTGAATTTCCCAGGGCACTAAGCATTCTGCTTGACAAATGTTTTATTTTTTAAAAAATGGGTAATCAAGAAAATTATAAAGCACTGTTAAAAGAAATAGAAGAAGATAAAAAGAAATGGGAAGACATCTCTTACTCATGGATTACAAGAATTAACATCATTAAAATGGCCCTCCTACTAAAAGCAACTGATAGATTCAATGCTAGATCAATAAAAATTTAAATGGCATTTTTCAAAGAAATAGAATAAAGACTGATGAAATTATATGAAGCCACCAAAAACCTTAAATAGCCAAAGCTTTCTGAATAAGAAGGGGAGGTGTGCCACATGCCCAGACTTCAAACTATACTACAAAGCCCTAATAATCAAAACTGCATGGTACTAGAACAAGAAAAGATGTGCAAACCAATGGAATAAAATAAAAAAGCCAAATATAAACCCACAGCTTTATGGACAATCACTGACAAAAGAGTAAAGAATATGTGATGGAACAAAGAAAGTTTGTTCAAGAAATGGTGCTGGGGAAGCTGAGCTGGGCTGCCACATGTAAAAAAGTGAAATTATATTACTACCTCACACCGTACACAAAAACCAACTCAAAATGCATTAAAAAACTAGACATAAGACCTGAAACCATAAAAAATATAGAAGAAAATACTGGCAAAACACTACATGACATACACCTCAGTAACATCTTCAAACATCATCTAAAGCAAGGATAGTGAAGGAAATGATAAACAGCTGGGACTACAGCAAGTTAAAGAGCTTCTGTACAGCAAAAGAGATATTACACAAACAGACACCCCCACTGACTAGGAGAAAATTGTTGCACATAATACTAACAATAAAGGACTGACACAAAGATATACAAAGAACTGACGAAACTCAACAAATATAATAACCACCCCATCAAAAACGGGCAGAAGAGCTACAAAGACACTTCTCCAAAGAGGAAATGTAGACTGCCAACAGACATATGAAAAAATGTTCAACATCACTTATGATAAGTGAAAGGCAAATCAAAACCAAAATGAGATACCACCTCACACCAGTGAGAATGACACATATTTAAAAAATCTAGCAACAATAAATGTTGAGAAGGCTATGGAGAAAAAGGAACTCTCCTACACTGCAGGTGGGAATGTAAGCTGGTACAACCACTATGGAAAACTGTGTGACGGTTTCTCAACTGCTAAAAATGGAGCTTCCATATGATCCAGCAGTTCCACTCCAAATGCATTAATTCGAAAGGATACCTACACCTCCATGTTTATGGATGCTCTATAATAGGGAAGATGTAGCACAAATGCCCCAAAACAGATGACCGGATGAAGGTTTAGTACATATACACAATGGAATATAACTCAGTGATCAAAAAAGATAAGCTCATGCCATTTGCGGCAATGTGAATGGAGCTGGAAAAGATCATGCTTAGTGAAATAAGCCAGAAAGAAAAAGAAAAATACCAGTTGGTTTCACTCATAGCAGGAGTGTAAGGGATCAGGAAAAAGGGGGGAAAAAAAAATCACATATACATACACACATAAATCATATATACATACATGTGTATGTATGTATATATGTGTGTATAATTGTGATAATTACAGCTGAGATGGAAAAATGAAGAATGATGTAAAAAATATAATGAAATTTAAAAAAAATTAGTAACCATTAATGATGAAAAGGAAGCCAAAATTTTTTTAAAGGCACAGCTTCTTTAATACATCCTAGAGCCCTCCCTGGTGGTGAAACAGGTTAAAGTGAAGCACTGAGAAGTTAGCTACAACTGCTTCAGTGCAGTTCAATCCGCCGCCTGTAACATAGTGTAACAGACCTCGCGTGTCTTTCCCACTGCTCCCCTCAAAAGTGTACTTTGACATTCTACCTGTTCTGCTCCCCACTCTGTCTCTGGTGAATCTTTTCACCACCCCTGTACGTCTGGCCTGCACCTCAGTTCTGCATGCATAAATAAATCTTTTTTTTTTAAAGCATGTATCTTCGGGCCCTCCCTTGTGGCGCAGCGAGTTAATGCACTGCAAAAGAAGCTCAAGCCACTTCCGCATGAGTTCGATCCCTGCCTGCCCCATGGGAGATCCACATGGCGTGCAGACCTCTCCTGACCCGCCCGCTGCTCCCCTCAGCAGTGTACTTCATTGATGCCTGTTCTGCTCCCCACTCTGTCCCTGATGAATTCTCTCACCCTCCGCATCTCTGGCCTGTACCCCAGTTCTGTATGAATAAATAAATCTTCAAAAAAAAGCATGTATCTTCATTGCTGAATTCTTCATGAATATAAAACAATTAAAACATTACTGTAATAATAAAAAAAAGAAAACATTATTACAGGCCCTCCCTGGTGGCGCGGCGGGTTAAAGCACAACACTAAGAAGCAAAAGCCACTTCCGCATGAGTTCGATTCCCGCCTGCCCTGGAGGTGACCACATGGCGAGGCAGACCTCTCCTGACCCACCCACTGCTCCTCTCAGCAGTGTACTTCATTGATTTGCCTGTTCTGCTCCCCACTCTGTCTCTGGTGAAGCCTCTCACCCTCCGCATCTCTGGCCTGTACTCCAGTTCTATGTGAATAAATAAATCTTCAAAAAAAAGCATGTATCTTCATTGCTGAATTCTTCATGAATATAAAACAATTAAAACATTACTGTAATAATAAAAAAAAGAAAACATTATTACAGGCCCTCCCTGGTGGCGCGGCGGGTTAAAGCACAACACTAAGAAGCAAAAGCCACTTCCGCATGAGTTCGATTCCCGCCTGCCCAGGAGGTGACCACATGGCGAGGCAGACCTCTCCTGACCCACCCGCTGCTCCCCTCAGCAGTGTACTTCGTCGATCTGCCTGTTGTGTTCCCCTCTCTGTCTCTGGTGAAGCCTCTCACCACCCCTGAGCCTCTGGCCTGTACCCCAGTTCTGTATGCACAAATAAATAAATCTTTAAAAAAAAAAAAAATATATCTCAAGGGATTAGAAAAAAGGTTCTTCTCCTTGCTGCCTGAACACGCAGCACTTTCCAGGTGGGCAGGGGCAGAGATGAGTGGTGGTGCCACCTCCTGGCAGCTGTACCCATGCCGAGTATTTCAGGTTACAATGGCTGACGAAAGCCTAGCATGGGCACATAAACCGTACCTGGCATGCCACGAAAGATGGATTTTTACTACACATGGTGGAAGCCACTGAAGACTTTCAAGCAGGAAAAGTAAGATGGTCTGGACTTCATTTTAATTCTATTCCTCTATGGGATAACTTAAATGGGAGTCTAGCTCAGTGGAAGAAAACCATTTAGAAAATACTGAAAAGTATGCTACAGAACTATAAAACTAGAACAGTCAAAGTATATGAATAAACAGAAGATGATGAATTAACTATATATATATGTATTTAAGAAACTCATTTCTTTTTTAATTTTTTCATTTTTGCATCAAATAACGGGTATAGGCCAGAGGTACATGGGGTGAGAGGATACACCAGAGACACAGTGGTAAGCAAAAAGGGCAGACTGTCTGAAATACACGGCTGAGGGGACCAGCAGGTGAGACAGGAGAGGTCTGCTGCGCCATGTGGGCCACTTCCCTGGCTGGGGATTGAACTTGTGCCACAGCAGTGACTGTGCTGAGATTTAATACCTAGGTCACCAGAGAAGCCTTAAGAAATGTTTAGGAAGACAACAAAAATATTTAGGACAGAAACAGTGAGTGACTAACTAGAAAAACAAGAGGAGTCAGTATTCAGTCTGGCAACGGAAGCGCTGGTTCCACTTTACTGAGAGAGAAAAACCAGCAGTCTCCCAATGGATGGGATGATGAGTAGCTCAGTTTTAGACATGTGAAAATTGAGAATCCAGGGCACAGACAAGTGGAGAAATACAATAGAGAGATAAATACAGAAGTGTGGGTTTGAGAAGGAGGTAAAATATTGGAAGATATATGATACTTGAAACTAAAATAGAAGACATTGCTCAAGAGTAGTAATTGAAATTCTGGGGAATATAAAAGCATTACAGAGAAAAAAACCAGCAGAAGAGTACAAACTAGAGTGTCAAAGCGGAGACTACCAACAAGGATGGAAAGGTAGAGGCAGAGCCAAACTTCAATGAGCAAAGGAAAAATCCAGGAGTGGCCCCCAGAGAATGGAAGCTGTTCTTTCAAGAGCAGACCTAGAATGGAAAGTGTAGAGAGCTAGAGTGTGGACAGACAAGGTTTCAACAGGAATATGTTAATTCTGCTACTTACTGCCTTAAGATTACATATTTGTTTAGGTTTGTAACTAGTAGGTCTGAAAAGATTTAAAAATACAGAAGTGAACAAAATAGAGGAATCAAGACAGTGTGGATGGCTTGAGATAACTAGTTCTGGAGCCCAGATTGAGAAGTCTGCTTAGAAGAGGAGGAATGCCTGGCTTTCGGGGGTGAGAAGGAAGAACAAGATGAGTACAGCATGCTAGAGAAGCTGAAGCAGAGCCAGCTATCATCCTAAAATTCTTTGTAAACTTGAAGGTGAGTTTATCAAATGAGGAACTCCAGGAGAATGCTAAGTTACCCAAGAAAGGCAGCAAAGTAATTAAGTAGGTTGTGCTGAGAGCGTGGCAGAAGCTGAAGAGTTAAGACTAGCTGTTTCGCTAGCTTTGTCTAGCTGTCCAGAAGACAGCCCAAGTGACCAAGGTTGACAGGGTAAGACATGGGAATGAAAGGAATACTGACAACCCAAGAGTCTGAAGTGATCAGAACATCAGTTCTAGTCAGGAAAAAGAGAAATGTGCTGACAAATTAAGAGAAAAATGGAGATTAAAAAAGGTATAATATGGGTAAAGAAAAGGCTTAGTATGAGTAAGAGACTGAAACTACTAGAACAACTGGTGGTTGTAGTTAATCTTCTAACACAGAAGAATTTTTTAATGTGAAGTTTTTATCCACATTGACTCCTGAACCACAAACTCCTAAAGCAAGAGAAAGCAAGCCACCAGATATTCTGCATTTATAACCACCACATTAATGTTTGGAGACCACATCAGAGTTATGTAAGACCTAATAATATGCACTAATACAGCAAATACTTGATGAGAAACCACATGATCTCATTAGTATATACCCTGCCAAGCTCATAATTCAGCAAAAGCACAAAGAGACTTATGCTTGCTCCAGAAGGCAACCTATAATCATAGCTAGCGTAATTCTAGAACAAAAGATAGCTACAATTTGGGAGGATTAATATTGTAACAAGTTTAATGAATATTTTAAATTAGTGAACACAGTCTCGGTTTAAACTATTTATCCTTATACTTTGGTGGTAGGAGGTGACAATAAATTAGGAAACAAAATAATTACACTCAAGTAAACATTATTTAAATTTCTAGTTTAAAAGACAATGTTGGGACTTCACAATTTGTTTTTAGTAAACTTTAACTTACCTAGATCTGGCCATTAATGTTCTTAGCCTCTGCTGCAGCATCAGGAATTTAATCATACTTCAAAATACCATGGCTTTTTTCTGTGTGGTGACTTATCCTACAAATAATATGTGGGGAGAGAATTTTTTATTTCCTTTAATCTATTTAAACTCTCTAAAAGTAAAAAGAAACCATTAAAATTTTAACCAATGAATATATTATATATATATATATATATATATATATATATATATATATATAAAATCATTAACATAGCCTTTTTAAAAAAAAAGGCAATGGATGAAATTCTATGCTATTTGAATAAATAGGACCTTTAAAATCACCAATTCTGGCTTCTCCACAATAAATATTTATGACATGAGATGATTCCTTTCTCAATACTTACCTACACACTCATGAGCAAGATTAGACTAAATCACCTTCAGGGCTCTTTTCAGCTCTTAACAGCCCACTTTAGCCAACAGTAGGGTAATTCTTTACCTCTAGTCACTTTCCTTAAGCCTCCCAAAACATAGATACTCTTTTAGAATCTACTTCCCTATCTTTCTATTCTATAAGTCTCCCCACAACCAAGTCTAATATCAGTTATTGGTAAAAAAAAAAAAAAAAAAAAAGGTTGGTATGAACAAACATGCCGTACAGTCACAAGATCATAAAATTTGAAATTGTAGCAATAAATTATAGTCTAGAGTTACAAGAGTCAAAAGAGAGTTTAATATTTTTAGTAATTTTCTGGTCATTTAATAACTTTTTATAATACAAAAAATATCAACCTCAAACACAGGCCCTAACATTTACTGAATACTCACACTAAATCAAGCATTATGTTAGAGATGTTAAAACAGTCTCATTATAACCTATATAATAACTGGAGTTAACAAAATATGATTGACATCCAAAATGAACATTTTCAAAACCATGTGCACACACATTCAAAGCTTTCAATTCTCAACTTCTAAACCACATGCAAAATCAGCAGTCAGGTGTCTGTGTATGCCCCCCATGAGGTGCTGCTACACCCCCATTTTAGGGTGCATAGCAACCCCACTTTAGGGCATGCCTCTCTGTTAACATACCGTCATTTCTAAAAAAAGTTTTAGCATATATCATGCTTTGCTTCTAGCCTTGTAAAACTATCCAGCTAGTGTTAACATAAACCATTACCCTTACAGAGTACACATTGCTTGCCCATCTCTTTTTTTCGAAGAGATTTAGCCAACTGACTTAGAAAAATCACTCTTCCTCCTTTTACTAATTTCTCTTACAAACATTGTTAACCTTCATCCTGAAATGAAGTTTAATCATAATGTGATTAAGAGCAATTTCCCTATAAGTCTACGTCAAAGAAAAGCTATATGACTTGAAGTTAAACATATTGAAGAGTAAGTACACAAACCAAAACAACTCTTGAAAATATTTTAAACCTCCATTAGTGTAACTGGGAAATTTTTATTGTCCCATCTTTAGACTTTATCTGTTCCCAATTTTTTATTGTAGTAAAATACCCATTAGTATAAATTTATCATTTTATCTAAGTTTAAGTGTTAAATGTACTCAATGATCTTGTGCAACCAATCTCCACAACTTTTTTCATCTTGCAAAAGCAACTCTTTACCCATCAGACAACTCTCCTTTCCATTCTCTCTTCTGGCAATCACCATTCTTACTACATGTAGAAGCAGAGTTTGACTACTCTAGATACCTCGTAAGTGAAAACATAGTATTTATCTTTTTGTTCTTGGCTTATTCACACAGCATAATGTCCTCAAAAATTCATCCATACGGTAACAAATACAGAACTGCTTTCTTTTCTTTTCTTTTAAGATTTATTTATTTATGCATACAGAACTGTGGTACAGGCCAGAGGTGTAGGGGCAGTGAGAGGATTCACCAGAGATAGAATGGGGAGCAGAACAGGCAGATCCATGAAGTACACTGCTGAGGGGAGCAGTGGGGGGGTCAGGAGAGGTCTGCTGTGTCATGTGGATCACCTCCGGGGCAGGGATCTAATGCATGCTGAAGTGGTTTTAGCTTCTTAGTGCTGTGCTTTAACCCGCTGTGCCACGAAGGAGGGCCAGAACTGCTTTCCTTTAATAATAGTAATCTATTTCTGCATACGCCATATTTTCTTCATTCGTTTGGTAACATCTGTCCACCTTTTGGCTATTATAAATGGTCCTGTTACAGAATGTTCAAATATATCAAGATCCGGCTTTAAACTCTTCTGGATCTATATCCAGAAGTGGTATTGGTGGATCACATAGTTATCCTCTTTTTAATTTTTTGAGGCACCACCATACTATTTTCTACAGTAGTGATACCATTAATGACCCTGCCAGCAATGTACAAGGGTTCCAATTACTCTACATCCTCACCAACACTTGTTTAAAATATTAGCCATATTAATGGATGTTAGGTGGTATCTCAGCATAGTTCTGACTTACATTTTCCTAATTGTTGGTCATGACCATTTTTTCAGTGTGTGCTATTCAAGTGCCATTAATACATTAACATATCTTCTTTGGAAAAACATCTACTCAAGTCCTTATTTTATTGCTGACTCAGACTATTCTTTTTGTTGTTCAGTTTTAGGAACTCGATATATATTTTGGGAATTAATCTCTTATCAAATATATGATGTGCAAATGTTTTATCTCATTATGTGGGTCTGGACTTTTTTAAACTGTTGATAGTATCTCTTGATAAAAAAAAGTTTTCATGAAATATGATTTTTTTTGTTTTGTCTATACCTTTAGTGCCATGTATAAGAAGGCACTGCATAGCCCAAAGTCATGTGAGTTTTGTCCTATGCTTTCCTTCTAAGAATTTTCTTTATGCCTTATATTTAGGTCTTTGGTTCATGTTAATTTTTTTATGTTGTGTTATGTAAAGATCCAACTGCATTCTTGTGTGTGCAAAACAATCTGTGGAAAAACCTGTTCTTTCCCAGTTGGAAAGGTTGTGGCACCCATGTCAAAATTTGACATATGTATGTGACAGTTTACTTCAGAGTTCCCGATTCTATTCCACCAGTCTGTGTTTGTGACAGTACCAAAAATTTTTATTACTGTGGCTTTGCAGCAGTTTTTGAAGTCAGGAGGTGTGAATCATCCATTTTTGTTTTTTCCCATTGCATTTGCTATTCTGGTACCATTAGTTCCATATGAATTTTATGATACATTTCTATTTCTGAGGGATTTCAACAGGGGTTGCATTCAACCTGTTTCCTTGGATCATACTGACATTTTAACAAGACTATGTCTTCTAATCCATGAATATGTCATACATTCACTTGTCTTCTTTAATTTCTTTCAACACACTTTACATAGTTACTATTGTCAAAGTCTTTACCTTTTTGGTTAATTCCTAAGTATTTTATTCCTTTATTGTTAAACATGGATTTTTTTTTTAATTATTACAAAAGTTTATTTTTACATCATTTTGCACATTTTTTTTTTCTATTCAAAGCTGTGTTTTATTTATTTCTTTTTTTAATTATTACAAAAGTTTATTTTTACATCATTTTGCACATTTTTTTTTTCCATCTTGATTGTAATCCCACGGGTTTCCCATCACCAAATCACCCCTGTGCCA